GCAGTTCTATATGGCTTTCGTGTAATGTTAGCAATTGAAAAAAATAATAATTTAATGAGAAAAATTGTAATACTGCAGCGCATGAATTTGCACAAGCTGCTTGGCACTTGGATTGGAAATTAGCCTCCTTGGTGCAAGGATCTTATGCAGAATAATTGTAATCCACTTTGATGCAGAGGATACAAAGCTCAAGGAAGATTAAATTCAAAGAAGTGATAATATTTGGACATTAGCATAATTTGAGAAACTGATACAAATCTTCTATAATTATGTTTCTAGTATTATCAGAGTCTTATTTTATTATTATTATTATGTTTTCTAGGATTTTTAAGGTTGGGAGTATTTTGGTAATTTTATATTTGCTAGCATAGGTCAGTCATCCATGAGTCGTCTTGTGGGTCAAGTCATTTAATTAAATTTTATTTATATTTCTTATTTGGTCTTAAATTAGTTTTGGAAATCTAAGATCTTATAATAGTTTCCTTTTTTTGTTCTAGTTGGTTTAGGAAATCTCCTAGTTCTACATAAAGCCTTGCAATGCTTATAATTGAGGGAGTTGATATTTTTATAAAAAGTTGTGAGCTTTGAATCTTCTTTATAGGTTGTGTGATGCAATCAAAAGCTAGGTGTGATGCTAAGGGATTCTAGGAGTGATTTTGTTGGCTTGTTTTTCTTACGAAGGAAAATATCATAAATACGAATGTGTCAGCAAGGATTGAAAAATCCTTACAGATTAAATTTAAGCCAATTATCAAGCGATTGCTTGATGGTTCTTTTGCCTCAACAAAGAGGAATTCAAAATTGCCAAGTGTAGAGAAAAGAAAAATTAAAAGAAGTATGAGGGAGACGGAGAAAGACGATTGAGTGAACAATCAAAGTAATAATTACTTACCTCTACTCCTATGCTTCGAAAAGGAAGTGCATAAAATGCTTCGAAATGGAAATGCTAAAAATAAATGCTTCGAAATATAAATCTATGTTAAACTACTCCTAAGATAAGGAAAATGATAAGAAATATTGAAATCAATTGTCTTTGATTATGAATTCTGGATCCTTTACAATATAGCCATGAATAGCTATTTATAGACAAATATTTGTAGGAAAAAACTTCCAGCAATAACTACCCAATAACTACCTAAAACTACCCACTCTTCCATTTTCATTCCCATAATGCCACATAACTCTTCATGCCTTCATAACTTCTCATAACCTCCAAATGAGTAGGAGGATACCACATGTCCTGCAATAATAATAACAATAATAATAATAATAATAATAATAATTTTAGATTTATGATGCTAACATTACCCCCCCGCGGCCTTTAAAAATGATGTTTATTTGCATTTTTGAAGGGCCGAACCAAGCACATGACTAATCTAAGCAATAAAGTGTTTCGAATAATATCAACAAAGTGCTTCGAATGATATAATAGCACCAATAAACTGCTTTGAATGAGCATGAAATTATGACTAGATGTTGCGAATTATATATATACGCATTGAAGGGATATTATTGCAGAAAAGTTTCGAAGGATAACCACATATTTTCAAGACAAAACCAATGATTCACCTTAGCAAACTGTTACACATGCTAAATAACCAGCTTCGAAGGTGGTATAGAGGACTAAAATTATCATTCGAAGGTCGAAAATGCCAACAAAGGACGAATTACATCTTTGGAAATACTCGGCAACGCTTTGAAGGTTCACAACTATCACTATTTTCTCTTCGAAGTTGTTGTTGATGCAAGATGGAGTGCTTCGAAGCTTACAAAATTATGGCAAAAGGGCTTTCGAAGCAATTTTTGGCCAACATTGTGGTTATTCAAATTTTGTATGTTTTGGTTCACACATAATTAATGAAAATATTAATTTTATGCTTTAAACCAATTATTAATTCTCCGAAGATACCAAAACCGTTGTTCTTCGAACCCACTTTTATAGAATACTAGTTACATTTTCATGTAACAAATGGCTATAAAAATGATTATCAGTAAAGCCACTAATTATCATGCAAAAAAAAAGCATTATTCGATAATTAATTAATTGCCATTTTATATATATTTGAAGGGAGATACATATTTCGAAAGCTTTTTTGTCCCATGTTACATTTCGAAGGTGTTTATTGATGACAAAACTACCATTCGAAAGTCACATATGTTACTAAAGGATTAAAGTTGTCATTCGAAAGTGCTCACGACATCTCTTCAAACTAAATCCAAAGAGTTGGATTATTATGAAATTAGTTTGGCATTTTAACTAGCCATTAATGGCAATAAAATGATATTTCAATGAGTAATCTACTTCGCAGTGTCTTGAGACATGCTTCGAAGGTAACCACAAAACCAAATGGTGATGGTTTTATGGATCAACTAATAACAACATTTTTTTGCTCAATATATTGCAATATAACGAAATATTATTTGTTAGCCATTCTATCAAAGTCAACGTTTGATGTGATCCACAAATCCAAAATGAATTTCGAACAACAAAAGTCATGGTATAGTGTGACTATGAAAATTCATACTTTTTGACATTTTGAAAAATGTCAAAAAATTTGAATTCATGAACAGTGGCTTGTTCATTATTTTTGACCATATTTGTTTTAAAAACATGACTTCTGCTGAATAGATTTTCATAATTATTTGGCAAAGTTGGTTGTTTTTCCATGTTAGCCATTAATGGCTTATGAAAATCACCAATAGATATGTTATTTTCATGACTTAACTCTCTAAAAATTGGTTTTGAGACCCCCCGAGCCATGCATGGAACATCATTCTTAGCCAAATTTGGCTCAAGAATATGCTCTTTCGTTATGTTAATTTCATAATTTGGCTCTTTAAAAACGGACTCTTGAACCCCCCGAGCCATTGATGAAATCAACTCTTTGCTTTTGCTATTTTTAACCATGGAAAAATTCTAAAAAAATTCACTAATTCCGGCCATTAAGGCCTTAGTTAAAGACTTGGTAGTGAGAGTTGATAATTCATCATTCCATTGGCAAATTTCCATATCAAGTTGATGAATTTCTCCAATTAAATGATGTCTTTTTTCTTCCACCAAATAATATTGTAAGGGATGAAAATTTATTTCATCAAGAAAATGGATCTCTTCTTGAAGATCCAAAATTTCTTGTTTACGCCAATAAATTTCATCTAGATTATTTGAAATAGACAAATCCAATTCACTTTTCATGTATTACACTTGACGTCCCACTGGGCGCGCCAAAACTTGTTGGCTTATTTTTCTTACGAAGGAAAATATCATAAATACAAACGTCCCAGCAAGGATTGAAAATCCTTACAGATTAAATTCAAGCCAATTATCAAGCGATTGCTTTGATAGTTCTTTTGCCTCAACAAAAAGGACTTCAAAATTGCCAAGTGTAGAGAAAAGAAAAATTAAAAGAAGAATGAGGGAGATGGAGAAAGACGATTGAGTGAACAATCAAAGTAATAATTACTTACCTCTACTCCTTTGCTTTGAAAATGAAGTGCATAAAATGCTTCGAAATGGAAATGCTGAAAATAAATCATTCGAAATATAAATCTATGTTAAACTACTCCTAAGATAAGGAAAATGACAAGAAATATTGAAATCAATTATCTTTGATTATGAATTCTGGATCCTTTACAATGTAGCCATGAATGGCTATTTATAGACAAATATTTGTAGGAAAAAACTTCTAGCAATAACTATCCAATAACCACCTAAAACTACCCACTCTTTCATCTTCATTCCCATAATGCCATATAACCCTCCATGCCTTCATAATTTCTCATAACCTCCAAACGAGTAGGAGGATGCCACATGTCCTGCAATTATATAAATAATAAATAATAATAATAATTGCAGATTTATGGTGCTAACAGATTCCTACACCTATTTTCTTCTTCTCCTTTCTTTCTTTGTTCAATTCCTTTAGCCTGTTCACAGCACCCTAACACAGTCTCCAAACAGTGTAAAATCAGCCCCGAAGCCTACTATTGTGGCTGTCCCTAATCGTCTTGCATCACACTTGGCTCTTGATTTTTCAAGTTTAATGCAATCATTTATCTCCTGACAAGAAAAATGTTATTCATATCAAAATATATTACTAAATCTTGTGTGGCTAAATGCCATGTTTGGTAGAACTGTGGGAAAGTGCTTATACCTTATACTTTAACAACTTATAGCTTATAAACTATGAACATAAGCTGATTTCTGACTTATAAATTAAATTTCTCCTACCCCACTCAAAGAATAAGCTGATTTCTAACTTACAAAAAGCTATAAGCTATAAGCTTAAGTTAAACCAAACACATCAAAATAGTTTAAATTAAGCTAAAAGCTGAAATAAGCTGAAAAAAAGCTGTACCAAACAGGGCTAAATTTCGTAATCATTATTTGTGTTGTTTTTTGGTTCTTATCATTACTTAATGAGCCCTATCATGCAACTTAAAAGCACTGTTCAGTACATCTCTCACGAGAAGTACTCTACTTCACAAGGCCCTAGTGTTTCCTCTCTGTGATAGAAACTCACTAAAATTTTAAAGATTTGGATCCTAATTGGAAAATTAAAGAGCCTACGGATTTTTTTAGAACAACATGATCACAATTTCAGACGAATATTTACACTTTACACAAGCAACCATGAGATATACTTTTTGGGGGGTTTTGTTTATGTCATTAATTACATAAAAAATGAAGGGACCATATGTACATATATTTTTATATATATACAAATCTGGTTTTCATTTATGCAATAAGGGGACCATTTTTTTTTTTTTTCAGCTCTCCTTGTAGCATTAGGTAAAAATGAGGGCCCTATAATTATCATTTTCTTTCTTTTTTTATAAAAAAGTGACTGCGTAATTTTGCATAGATTATTTGTTCATTAATTATCCAAAATAATTGACACATAGAGGGAGACATATAAGCCTTCTCATAAGTGAACCTTATAATTGAGGGGGACCATACATAAAATGAATGCTTGATAAATCAAAGCACATAGAGGACATAAAATCTTTACTTCTATTAAGTAACCTCATAATTGAAGGGGAGATAATCTAATTGATATGCAATCTAATTGAATACAACTGAAAAATAATTTAAAAATCAACCAGATATTGGTTAATTTTTCTTTCCCTTTCTTCAATAAATAATCACAAACAAGAATCAGGTTGCTCTGATATTTTATTCCTTAGTAGTTAGTTCAATTCTGTCAATAACTAGATCTCAATCTTTTTGTAATATTCATAATATATTAAGTGAAGTCGATCATGTAGAGACCTCAATCTTGTCTTTGTCTATTTTATTTTTTCTATTTCCCCTTTCACGTTCATGTAGCATCACATTCTTGGAAGAACTCGTGGCTTACAAACTGAAAGCACCAAATTCATAAGTTAATCATGCAATATGCATCCATGGACCACACATAATTTTATATTTCACTGATCAATCTTGGTCTAATCAATTTTGAAATTGTAATTAAAAAAGTTAGAATTTAAAACATTACTCTTCTATGTTAGATTTCCTCGACATTACCCAAGCAGGTAAAATGACCGCAACAAAACCACATAACGAATTTATATAGTTCTCTTTAATTATCAATGTGTGCACTAAGCATTCATGAAACTATACAAACAGGCTATAAAATTCTTGAAATTCAGCAAAATCACAATGAAGTACATAGCTTTTACCTCTAATAAGTACCAGAAAAATATAAAGAAATGGGCTCCGAAACAATGGAGCATAGGATGAACGAAAGGCCGATAGTTTGGCATAGTTGTAAAAATTAAATTTTTGTTTTTTGATAATTGGGTGTCCAGGCAAACTTACGCACACGTCGACCAATCCTAAGGCCCTAAAGTTGACAACGGGGCAAATCTAAGTGGCCCTTGGACTTTATTTGGATCGTGAGGTGAAGTGAGGTGAGAAAAGAAATTAAATGATTATTGTTTCTCACCATTGGGTTTGAATGAATAAAAAAATATATATATAATTTCTCACCTATCTTGTTTGCATAGAATAAATAAGAGAAAAGAAATGAAAGTATTGTATTTTATTTTACTAAAATAACATTCCATATTAATAAGCTATGTTTTTTCATAAGGGTAATTTTGATATTTTAAAAAACTTTCATTAAATCCAATTCCTTTCTTACCAAATCTCACCGCTTTTAGTAAGAAACAAAACATAAGTTTGGTGAGAATAATTTTCTCACAATCTCTCATCATTTCTTACTATTTCTCACTTACTTAACCATCGGAAAGGTTTTCCATTCTCACCATTTCTTTTCTTTTCTCACTAAACCCCTCCATCCAAACGGAGTGTTAGAATGACTCCACTTCGAGACCTTGGATCTTATCCTCAAGTCTTTACTCAGAGGTGTGTGAAAATTAAATTTTTAATGAGACTATATATTTCTAGTGGACCTTTTTTCTATGTTAATAAATTCAATTTTCAAATTCTTGGGGGTTTTAAAATTACAAAATTTTACTGGAATGAGATGTTTTTATCTATATTTTAAAGAAAACTTTGGTCTATTCTGAATGTAATCAATCATTTGTCCTGATAACACCATAAAATTCTAAGCATTCATGAAACTAGATAAATAGACTATACAAAACACTTCAAATTCATCAAAAGCACAACAGAGTATACATACTATACTAGTAGCGTTTTACCCTCAAGAAATGGGCTCCAAAACTCAACTCAGACTTCCGATGATTGATTTCTCCAACGTAGAGCTAAACCCTAGCTCTCCGGAGTGGAAATCGGTGAAAGCTCAGGTCCGAGAAGCGCTCGAAGAGTACGGTTGCTTCGAAGCAACGTTCTCGAAAGTTCCTTTGGATCTTCGAAAGGCCTTGTTTGGGGCACTAGAAGAGCTTTTCGATCTGCCTTTGCAAACGAAGCTGAAAAACTCTTCGAAAAAGCCCTTCCATGGCTATGTCGGCCAATATCCGATGGTGCCGCTCTATGAGAGCATGGGCATCGATCATGCTCCCAACCCTGATAAAGTACAAGGATTCACTCAGCTCTTGTGGCCTGAAGGAAACCCTAATTTCTGGTATACAATCATAAAAATTTAAAAAATTTAAAAAGATTATCTAAAGTTAAATAATATTATTTTTTTATATTGAAGCAAAATTTATTTATTTATTTATTTTGAATAAATTTGATTATTTTATGAGAAAATAGAAATTTTAATTATAAGTAAATATTTTATATATCTATATACATATATATATTTTTTGGAACCTTTGGACAATGAACATTTTATTATTTATTGGGACAACTAGTTTTATTTTGATGAACTTTTGAATTAGGAAGGTTTTCCTTGTTTAATATGCCTTTACAATAATGATTTTTTTATTGAATAAATTACAAATAAACTTTTTAAGATTTGTTTAAAATATATATTGTTCTATGTGGTTTTGTAAATTATATTTAACATAATTGATAGAAAAAATAAAATTATTACTATTCTTCTATACGACAATGAAATTACTAAAATTGTTAATTAAATACTGTTAATTAACTTAATATTTAATTAATAAAACAGATTATTTGTTATGCGATTAAAAATTTTAATAGACCAAATGTAATTTTTAAAACTATATGAGATAATATTTTAAGTAACAGAAATGATACATCCCTCTATTTTAGGAGCTCTAAGAGCACTAATGATGTGAAAAAAAAGAAAAAAGAAAAAAAAACCAATGTCAAAATACTACATCACATGGGATCCACACACTAATTAGAACTATTAGAGCTCTTAATGATTATGTGCCCAATGAATAAAAATACTAAGGAGTGTTTTGGAAAAATGTGAGAGCTAATGTGATCCAAAATGAGTAAAAAGATAAAAGCTAGCTTTTTATTTGCTTTCTAAAACACCCCTTAGTCTTTTTAGTCTTTTTGTAATTATTTGCTCACATGGGATCCACACACCAACTATTAGGGGTGTTTTGGAAAGCAAATAAAAAGTCAACTTTTAGCTTTTTACCCTTTTTAAGTTATATCACCTCTCACATTTTTTACTTACAAAAAGATAAAATAGATTAAAAAAAATCAAAAAATCAATTTTTTACCAGTTTCTCAAAACACTACTAAATAATTTATACTTCAATTTTGCAGCAAAATGTTATTGTTTTCTTCTTGTAAATTACATGAGAACATTATTCCTCCTTGACTTTTATATTAACTCTTGATTTGGCAGCAAAACCATACAATCCTACTCAGAGAAACTATCTGAATTAGACCAGATAATAAGGAGGATGGTATTGGAGAGCTTTGGGTTAGAGAAGTACATGGATGAACACATGGACTCAACTAACTACCTTCTTAGAGTGATGAAGTATAAAGGACCACAAACAACAGAGACAAAGCTTGGGCTAAACTCACACACAGATAAGAACATTGTTACCATTTTGTATCAAAATCAAGTTGATGGGTTAGAGGTGCAGACTAAAGATGGAGAGTGGATCAATGTCAAGCCGTCCCCTGACTCTTTCATTGCCATGATTGGTGATTCTTTCTATGTAAGTTAGTTTGTCTTTATTATTGCATGGGTTGAGTCAACAAATAAATAAACATTTTCAAAAGAAAAATGCTTAGTGGCCCGAATTCGTGTAGTTTAAATGACTCGAATGTTTCAAAACGACGTCATTTTGAGATATTCGAGTCATGAAAATTCCTATCACTTGTTGTTTTCAAAATGTGTTTTCTAAAAGAAAAAATTCAAAAATTAATTTACAGAAAAAATAAATAAAAATATAAAAAATAATTATTATAGGCTCCGTTTGGTAAGAGTTTCGAATCATAATTCCATCTATTGATTTGAGTGTGTTGTTTGTTTTGAGCTTCCAAATCATAATTCTACACCCATTTTTTAAAACTCAATTCAAAACATAATCATTACTTTTCAAAACTCATAACCAAACACATAATTCAAAACTCTTTTCAAAACTCAATTCGAATCAATATTTTAATTTTTTAAATATTTTAAAAACATTTTAATTTTGTTAAGATTTTAAATATTTTAATATTTAAATATGTTATGCTTTTTTTAATTTTTTTGAATATTTTTAAATATTTTAATTTCAAAATATTACGATTCTAATTTTTTAAATTTTAAAATATTTTATAAAAATAAATTCAAACTCTATTTTATAAAAATATTTTTAAATATTTTAATTTTTTTTGTTATGTATTTGGTTACGATTTTTCGAGTTATGTGTTTGGTTATGAGTTTTAAAAATAATTTCTTAATTGAATTTTGTTTTATGTGTTTGATTACGATTTGAGTGTAGAATTGTTTTGAAATTTAAAATATTTACATTTAAAATTATTTAAATTTTTACGATTTAAATTTTTTGAACATTTATTTTAATTTTTTACTTATTAATTTTTTTAGATTATTTAAATTATTTAAATATTTATGATTTAAATTTTTTGAATATTTATTTTGAAAAAAAATTATTTCCTTTGTAGTATTTTCAATTAAAAAATTGATTAATGTTATTTTTCGTTAATAATAAATTTTTTAATTAAATTTTAAAAAGAGTTTGGTTACGAGTGTTTATCAGAATTTTCAATAGTGTGAAAGTAGTGTGTTTTGTTATTAGTTATAACAATTTGAATTAAGTTTTGAAAACTCTTTCTAAAACTCATAACCAAACAAATTTTCTTACTTTACATGTCAAATCAAACTTTCAAAACTTAATTCAAAACTCAATTCAACACTTTATTCAAAAATCATAACCAAACAGATTTTCTACACTTAAATCATAATTCCACAACTCACAAACTCAAAATACAACTCATACTCTCAAATCATATTTACAAAATTTTACCAAAAACAACCTATTATTTTCATATAGTTTTCTCTTTTTTGAGGTGGAAATCATTTTAAAAATATATATTTTTAGTGTTTATTTTTGTCAAATTATTATTTTTTTAATTCAAAAAACATATTTTAAAAAATCAAGCAAACAAGAAGTTTTGCGACTCTTAAAAGTGTTTGATTTTTTGAATAAAGCTTGTTTTCTTTTTTGAATAGAGCTTGTTTCGCTTGGACCGTCCAGTTGAACTTATATGGTTCACTGACCTATGTATAAAAAATAATAACAATAATAATAATATCATCATATTGATATGATAATTATAACCTTATTTTTCTTTTAAAAAAAAGGGCGATAAAAATTATTTTAGATATAAACTATTCATTTTTTTTAAGGACAAATATAACGAAATAACATTGCTTCAATTATCAAATCAATTTAATTTTTTATGAATAATCTACATGTATAGACCTACAAAAATGAACATATTGAATTATCATAGGAGAACCCATGATGGATCCCATAAGCCCAGCTAAACCGTTCAATCAAACAAAATTAACACATGATCATGTGGCGAGTTTTCATATAGTATCACTCACTCTAATCACATGGTGGCTTGTTTTTCAAAAATCTTACCATTACAAAATTTTATTCATAAATTTTATTTAAAAAATTTGTAATATAAGTTTTTAAATATAAAATTAACTCTTAACATGAATTTTTATATGAGTTTGTGTGTGATCTTGGCAGGCATGGACAAATGGTAGACTGTATTCAGCACACCATCAAGTGATGATGAGAGGGAATGAGGCAAGGTACTCTGCAGGATTGTTTTCTATCCCAAAAGCAGGTTACATAGTCAAAGCACCAGAAGAGCTTGTTGATGAAGACCACCCTTTGCTCTTCAAGCCCTTTGATCATGTTGAATTCCTTGGTTTCTACTACACTGAGGCTGGCCAGAGATCCCCATCTGCCCTCAAGGCTTTTTGCGGTGTCTGAACTAGTTATGTTCAAACCAAGCACTAAGGATCCTCTAGAGTTTTTTTTTCCTAAAGTTTCCTAAAGTGGTGTATTGTATGGGTGAGATTTAATGCTAAAAAATTGATGTGACTTGTCATTAAATCTCAACCATACAACACACCACTCCAGGAAACTTTAGGAAAAAAAAACTCTAGAGAATCCTTGCTCCAAACCAAGAACTCAAATACAGAAAAGTATCAAGAAAAATAATGTTTGATCCAAATTCAATTATGATATACATATACTGGTGTCTGAATTTGGCATCAAGAATGTTGAGAAACATGTGTTTGTCTAGTTTCTACCTACTTGTAAATGATTTACTTGTGTATGTGGCTTTCTTTGGGTACTTGTTAATGCTAATGGTGTTTTGGTATTATGTCAATATTATTGTATCAATAATCAACTGGAATGGAATTAATTCAATTGGTCAAAACTATTTTTACATGCAAGACTCTCTTCACTCCATGACCTTGAATTACCACCCAAAAAAAAAAAATTAAATATCAATGTATATTGTATCTCTATATATATTATGAATATGTAATTAGTAACTTCAATTTCAGTTGTGAGGCAACTTCCTATAATTTACACCCCCAAAAAAACATAATAAAGAGTAGCATTGCATTTCTAGCTGCTAGAGCACCATGCCATGGTGCCAATTTTCGCGTTATGTTGGACAAAGGATGCTAACAACGACAGAGTTAGGATTTTAGTCAAGGGGTCAATATCAAGATAAATTATTGGGTTAGGTTAATTTGAAATGCAAAGTGTAAGTTTTGGTAAATTAAACCATTGGTCTCTCTACTTTGAACAAAGTTTCCCTTGGTTCTCATAGTTTTAATTTGAACAATTTGATTCTTATACTTTTAGTTTGTTGCAATGTAGTCTTTCTATCACTCACTATTAGGATTTTGAACCAAAAAAAAAAATTACATTCAAAATTAAAGGAACTAAATTGGAATTCAAACAAAATCATAAGGACCACCAGTGTAATTTATTCATTGCACTAGTATTCCTTATAGTTTCTTTTTAATTTTACTTTGATTCCTCTAGTTTTGCACGTAGTCTTGTTCAATTAAAAATGTTAACGACATATACCAGATGTAATACATTATAACAAAATTTAAAGTGTAAAGCTCAAATTATTCAAACTAAAATTACATAGATTAAAATGACACTTCACTTAAACTGCAAGGACTAATAATATAATTTATCTATTAATTCTTTTTTTTTTTTTAAATTATCAATATTTCAAAACTATTTTATATGAGGATAGGGTATTTCGGTTAATCAACCATTTTTTTTATTATTCTTTTTTCACCATAATAATTATTACTTTTTATTATTTATTTGAAAAAAAAAATATACATATATAAAAAGTAGATAAATCTCACAAAAACAAAACATTAGAATAATACAATGAGATATTATGCCCCATTTGTCCCTCCAAACCAACCTTGCATCATAAAAATCACACTATCTAATTCTCTAACTCCTTCAATACATCTAATTGATGAAACAAACATTTGCTTCTCTAAATGTTTTGATCCAATTTAACCAAAACAAAGCTATTGAGAGGGGAGTTTGTGCCAAGCAAACGGATCAAGCTAGTTGTGACTTGGGCTTTGCTATTGGATTACGCGACCGAGTTGGCATAGCCGAGGGCAATTTGGCCGAGGTTCTAGATCATGTGGCTGAGTTAGCCGAAGATCCGGAAGTTGGACTAGGCTAGGCCGAGTTAGGTGAAACGATGGTCCAAGGCCAAGTAAGGTCAGCAGCAATGAACGAAGTTAGGCAAACCGAGCTAGTTATTGAGCTTGACCCTGAAGGTCGGCTAGAATTAAGGCTAGAACTGACTGAGCTATGCCTAGCTCGGTGGAAATTGCTAGGTGGTCCAATTGGACTGCGAGAAGACGCCAATGGTGTACGTCAATACCATTTGGCAGTTTGGCTAATGTTGTTTGACGGTATTGACGGGTACATGCGTAAAGAATAGAGAGGGCAGTACAGCCACGCGTCCAGGAAATGACGAGTAGAGTAGCGCACAGAGGCTATATATATTGAACGGCGCCTTCATACAATAGGTCTAAATTTCTGGCTACCAGAGCTCTCTTTCTCTTTTTTTTCTTCCTCTCTAAGGGTGCTAACTTGACTGTCGGAGGGGTTTTCCAGCAACACACCCACCAGGTAGCTCATCGTCGTTGTATTCTCAAGTTATTCGGAACGAAGCAAATCTTGGACACAAGGAGTATGGACAGCGATGAATATTTGCTCCCCGTACAATTAGCGTCGTCTGTGGGAATCCAATAGACAAAACCTTGCCCTCCAAGCTTTTCCGGTCATCTTTTATGATGAACAACGACAACAATCTGTTGTCCGCCATCGACAGCATCACACCAAAGTCCATTCGGCACAGAGATAGTCTGACCGCCATTCCGGCAATGGCTGGTTTGGAGACCTCCGCGTGAAGACTTCCTAAAGCTGCGCGAGACAAGCGCACAAGGAGTTCTGGGTACTCTGTCAACCTAGAAGAGCGTTGCCGACAGCAAGACTCACACACTCAGCACCTAGAAGACAAGTTGAGAGACCAAGATACCATCATCAAGAAAATGACGATGAAGATGGAGGCCATGAAACGCTAGATGACGGGAAAATATGTCGCTAGAGTGGGGAACCACAGTGAGCATGCCCATTCTCGTCATTCCGGCAATCAGAATAGACATCGCACCCTTTCACTCTTCGTCACGAGATGCTTCAAAGTTGGAGACTACGTCTCGCCGGCAGCGACATCTTGTACGTAGGACAGCAGTTACCACCCTTCACATTCGACGACGACGGCGAGATATTCATGTTCCGACCGTTCGAAAGACTTGAGAAATATGTTGTAGGAGCACGCTCGCCCGCGAGATGCGCAGAGGGTGCCTGCACTACAGTGGCTGGCCCCTAGAGAGAGAGCTAGTGAAGAGGTTGCCATGCTACCACCACGTTTGGCGGCAAACGCGCCACTAAATAGAGAGTTGGCAAGGCTGAGCGCCATCCATTTTTCGGTAAAGATCGAGAACACACCGTTCCCCCTCGAGTTCCATCAGCCAAAGTTCACGCTCTATGACGGAAAGACTGATCCATACATACACGTAAGCTACATTCGGCAGGTTATGACTGGGCACAGGCGAAACGATGCACTCATGTGCCTTGTTTTTCTATCGAGTTTGGGCGAGTTTGGCCTAAAATGGTTCGAGAGGCTACCAGAGAAGAGCATCGAGGGGTGGCAATTGTTGGTAGAGCCATTTGTCACTAGAATTAAGACAAACGCCAAAACGCTCAAGGAAGTTGACCATCTCTTGGAAGTAAAGATGGAGCTCGACGACTCTTTAAAGGCGTATAATGCTAAGTATTGGGAGACTTTCAATGAGATCTTTGATTGCCCGACCAACCTTACAATCACTCAGTATAAGCACGGTCTTCCAATTGGACATGGGCTGAGGGATGCGCTCACGATGAATAAACCCACAATAATAGAGCTGTTGATGCAAAGGATTAATAAACATATCAAAGTTGAAGATGACATGGTTGCGGCTACTGTGAAGACAAATCCAGTAGTGGCGAACAAAAGAATCATGGGAAAAGTCAATGTAGTTGGACAAGAGGATGGTCGTGCAAACAACTATGGAAGAGATATGGAGAGTTCGGTTTTGGAAGACGTCAGTAAAAAGGCCGAGAAAAATGGGCATAAAACTCACAGAATATAAATGGTTGATCTATTTCCAAAACGTCGAATACTGCCAATATGAAGTTTTATTCTTACTTTTGTAACCCTTTCTACTATTAACGTAATAAAACAAGTAGATCATTTTTTGAGAAGTATTGTATTTTCATCCCACCAAGCAGATTTAGGGCAGTCCAAGGAGCAACTGACGATCATTATGACAGAAAGATCAAAATTCCTTACGGGCGTTTTGCTCGGCAAGAGGTTTGTTGATGGTTTTGATTAACCTTGGAGTGCCTTGCTGAGTTGACCTTGCTCGCCAACTTTGAAGTTCCTTACCAAGCAGATTTTGCTTGTCATGAAACAACTTGCCGAGTTGACCTTGCTCGCTAACTTTGCAGTTCCTTGCCGAGCTGATTTTGTTTGCCAAGAAGTGAGTTGCCGAACTGACCTTGCTCGCCAACTTTGAAGTTCCTTGCCGAGCGAATTTTGCTCGCTATGAAGCCAGTTGCTGAGCTGACCTTACCCACCAACTTTGAAGTTCCTTGCTGAACTGATTTTGCTCACCAAGAAGCAAGTTGCCAAACTGACCTTACTCACCAACCTTGAAGTTCTTTGCTGAGCTGATTTTACTCGCCAAGAAGCAAGCCGTCAAACTGACCTTGCTTGCTAATTTTGAAGTTCCTTACCGAGCTGATTTTGCTTGCCAAGAAGCAAGTTGCCGAGCTGACCTTACTCGCCAACCTTAAAATTCCTTGCCGAGCTGATTTTGTTCGCCAAGAAGCAAGTTGTTGAACTGACCTTGCTCATCAACTTTGGAGTTTCTTGTCGAGCTAATTTTGCTCGCCAAGAAGCAAGTCACCGAGCTGACCTTGCTCACCAAGAAGCAAGTCACCGAGCTGACCTTGCTCACCAACTTTGGAATTCCTTGTTGAGCTGATTTTATTCTCTAAGAAACAAGTCGCTGAGCTGACCTTACTCGCCAACTTTGGAGTTCCTTACCGAGCTAAATTTGCTCACCATGAAGCAAGTTGTCGAGTTGACCTTGCTCGCCAACTTTGAAGTTTCTTGCCGAGCTGATTTTGCTCGCCAAGAAGCAAGTCGCCGAGCAGACCTTGCTTACCAACCTTGAAGTTCTTTGCTAAGTTGATTTTGCTCGTTAAGAAGCGAGTCGAGCTAACCCTTGCTCAGCAACTTTGAAGTTCCTTGCTGAGTGAATTTTGCTCGCCATGAAGCCTTGCCGAGCTAATTTTGCTCGCCAAGAAGCAAGTTACTGAGCTGACCTTGCTCGCCAACCTTGAAGTTCCTTGCCGAGCTGATTTTGTTCGCCAAGAAGCAAGTCACCGAGCTGACTTTGCTCAGTAACTTTGAAGTTCCTTACCGAGCGAATTTTACTCACCAAGAAACAAGTTACCGAGCTAACCTTGCTCGCCAACCTTGAAGTTCCTTGCCAGCGGATTTTGATCGCCAAGCTGACCTTGCTCACCAACTTTGGAGTTCCTTGCCGAGCTGATTTTGCTTGTTAAGAAGTAAGTTGCCGAGCTGACCCTACTCGCCAACTTTGAAGTTCCTTGCCGAGCGGATTTTGCTCTCCAAGAAACAAGTCGCCGAGCTGACCTTATTTGTAACTTTGGAGTTCCTTGCCGAGCTAATTTTGCTAGCCAAGAAGCAAGTCGCCGAGCTGACCTTGCTTGCCAACCTTGGAGTTCATCACCGAGCTGATTTTT